TCCACTTAATAATTGTTTCATATTGATTGCATTTGAAAGTACTAAAAAGTATTACTCCTGTTATTCTACCTTTTAAAAAAGTGTAGCTTCAAGAAAGGGAAACTTTGGTGTATATACACAATGGAACATTACTCAGCATTAAGAGAGAATAAAATCATGGCATTTGCAGGTAAATGGAGTTGGAGAATATAATGCTATGTGAAGTAAGCCAATCCCCAAAAAACAAAGGCCAAATGTTCTCTTTGATATGACGATGCTGACTCATAATGGTGATGGAGGCGGAGCATGGGAGGAATAGAGGAACTTTATAGATAGGGGAAAGGGGAGAGAGGGGGAGAGGGGGTAGGGGGTAAGAATGATGGTGGAATGAGTTAGACATCATTACCCTAAGTACATGTATGAAGACTTGCATGGTGTGAAAATACTTTGTGTACAATTAGTGACTTGAAAAACTGTGCTCTATTTGTGTAATATGAAATGAATTGCATTCTGCCATTGTATATAACAAATTAGAATGAATAAATAATTTCAAAAAACTTAAAATTATGCATCAATGGCTAATATATTTTGTTGGAAAGTTGTTTCCTGGGAAATAATTTTGTGATACTGGGGATTTCTTCAGTTCACACCCATACTATTTTTTTTTTTTTTTTTACTGATGGTGTTAACTCTTTAAGCTATTAGAATTTAATTTGCCCGTTCTTTTTGTTTTAAGATATAAATCTGTTTTTTATGTTTTTTTAAGTAGAAATTCAAATGTCTCAATCCATATGAACTCTTTTCCCTTTAAAATGATATCACCGTCTTTTTCAGCAGTATCACTCTATTTTTGTATTATTTTTCACACTACCTGCTTAAACATTTTGATATCTATTGATGGAAGTTCCTAGGAATTGGTATTATTTTTGAATTGATTTGTTTGTTCAAAACTATCTACTGGGTTTTTCAAACATACTTAAATTTTTTTTTGTGTTTTATTCACAATAAAAGATTCTATTAGGGTTTTACTTAAAAGTAAACTCAAAAATTATTCTGATTAAAACTGACATTATTTGCACTATTGATCCTCAAACAATGTAACAGTTATTCTCAAAACTATTTAGTTTGGTATTATTATATTTTGAGGTATTGTGTTAATCTTGTGTGTTTTTTTTTTTAATTGTAGGTGGACACAATACCTTTATTTTACTTTTTTTTAATGTGGTGCTGAGGATGGAACCCAGTGTCTCACACATGCTAGGCGAGTGCTCTACCTCTGAGACACAACCCCAGCCCAGAGCTCATTGCTCTTTAGTTCATGATTTCTTCTTTTTATTAAGGGTTTCCAATTTATAATGGCAGACATACTCAACTGCAGTAGAAAAATGGATGTAATATTTTGTTTTTTGCTGTATAAAGTCTCTATTCAAGTATGTAATATGCATAAATTTATAGTATATTGATATATCTAAAGAATTGCTTTTGCTTGTTTTCCTTATTTAAATTATTTGAAATTAATGTTTTCAAGAATCTGTTGTGAAAAAAGCAAACAAAGTATTATTTCAAATTCAAGAATGTAGGAGATGTGCTCTAAAAATTCTGTGTAAAATGATGAAATTGATTTCAGTTTTCTGTAGTATAGGTGTTTTATTGTTTTGTTTTGTTTTGTTTTTGGCATTAGTGACTCAACCCAGGATCGCTTTACCACTTAATTACATCTCCAGTCCTTTTTATTTTTATTTTCTTAAAATTTGGATAAGGTCTCAAAACGACAATAATACTTCAAAAATGTATACTACAGCCAGGCTCAATGGTACACACCTATAACCCCAGGAGGATTGCAAGTTCAAAACCAGCCTCAGAAACTTAGGGAGGCCCTAAGCAATTTGCTAGACTTTATTGTCGTTTTGAGTGTTATGTCTTCTGTTAGTGCTACAGATCCTTTTTGTGTACTCCATTTTTCCCCTATTTATTAATCTTTCACTTTAGAAGATCCTGTTCTTTTTATTTTTTTTTAAGTCCATAATTGTGCTTGTTGAAGTTGGAGAAAGGAGTCAGCAACCTGTGATGGGATCACTACCACAGAGAAGAATTCTGATACTCACTATGCCATCAGGGCAGTGTTCTGCTCATGTTCAATATGACAGAGACCTTTAATCAATCAAATAACATGCACTATAGTTATTATGTTATTATATGATAACTATGTCACATAATCACCAGACAGAATCCTGTGGTAGTCATTAATTGGTTTGACTGCCAGCATATTCAGTAATTTCAAGTATGGAATTTTTGATTCAGTTTGAATTTCATTTGCTTATAGTAATTATCATACTCAGCTGTCATGTCCTAAGTATCAAATGATTTGATGTGAATATTCTCATTCACCAGCCATTCACAGTTTAGTGAAATAACTAATGTTGCTTTCCTGTCAAAGAAATGAGGATGTTTGTAAAAATTCCCATTTACTAATAAGCACAAAAATTATAACCAAGATGCATTTACAAAATATTGAATATTATGGGTTGACTGAATTGTACTTCTTGAAATTATTAGACTAGGAAAATAATAAGAATATAAATATAAATATAAATCTTATCATGTAGGTTGAGGAGAAGAAAGCATAATGTCAAAATAATAGAATATTTATTGGTAAAATGAATAGATATGACACAATATAGCTTCTCAAGTTTTAAAAATTCAACTGATTAGATTACTGTTCTTAATGTTAAACTATGGTTTAACATTTGTACCTTAAACTGTGTAAACTATGACTAGAGGGAAAACTCAATTTTGATAAAGGATTATTATTCTAATAAAATGATTCAGGCACCAGCTAGAGTAAGATTGTCATAGTTTCTCTAATCTTGATATATTTTGTTTTCAGTTGTTATGTGAATTGGAAGACCTATCTGTAGCCTCCTATCATCTTTAAATAAGTTTATTATTTAAAATTTGTTTCCTCTACTTGGTTTCTAAAACTTTTTATTTTGCTTTTGGCTGAATTTCTATATTCCTACAATATATAGTTTATGTTACTCCCATATTAAATAGTTTTATTTTATTCTCAAGAAATTTCAAATGTATTATTTTCTTCAAATGGATTAATTTTATGTCTGTTATAAATGAAAAGAGTTTCAACATGCATAATGATAAAATAAAAGACAAGGTGGGGTTTGTTTTTAGAAAAAGATTGTGTATGATATGTACAGGTTGTGCACAGCCCTGGTTACTTCAAAGATAATTTTCACATGCAAAAGAAAGCATGGGTTGGGGTCCGGGGAGAAAACGGATCATCAGCAACCTGTGATGAGATGTATTTAAAAGCAGAAGAACAAACAGTTATTTTAGCTTTTTTTTTAACTTATAGTGAATATTTGGATTTTGATTTAACTTGCTAAAATTCAACTTGAATCTACAGAGATAGCAATGTATGTGCAAATTCTGAGGGTCATCAAAGTAGGTGGAGCAGTACAAGATGTTCCTGGAGAAAAAGTGTTCTCAATACATTTTTGATCTTCAGAACTTCAAGTTCTATTGACTTTATCAAGTTCAAGATAAATTTAGAGACATGAATAGGATATGTAGAAGTCAGTAAGTAAAAAAAAGTCAAATGCCCTGTTTAAAAAGATGATTTCGTATTTAAATAAGATTGTAACAGTAAGGTAATTTTCATCAAAGTTCTTAAATTACTAAACAAAAATGCACTAACATGCTTGTGCATTTAGACCTATTTGGGAAGAATAAATGTTTATGGGTCTCATTATTCCATATGTTGATAGATACAAGTTGTATTATTTTGGATTATTTTGTTTATTGAACATTACTGAGTATAATATGCAAAAAATAGAAACCTTAAAATAATGTTCATATGTTGATCATTTCTCCTTTAAATCTATATTTCATTTTAGAGTTTTCTTGGTATGTCAACATGCATTGTATTCATGTTATCTTAGATGCAGCATTCAAAGAAAGGCGTTCATATTTCCTCTTGTCTTTCAGGGGAATCTAGTCTCAGAGATATGAAAAGACTCACTGGCAGAGTTCTACCAGGAGAGTTGGATATAACATAATTTCATCTCACACTATATGACCTTTGTGCCAACACTTGCTAGACACAATAAGCCCCATGATAAAACCTTGGTTTATCCCTTTCTTACCTGTGCTGGTTCCATCTTCTTTCTTATATGCAGTCCAGGGTACAGTGAGCTTCGCAATGAGAGTAGCATTGCTGACAATTTTTGTTAAGGACAATGAAATATTGCTTTTCAGAGTCCTTTGGCAATTGTACATCTTGCTCAGATGGTTGTTGGGTATCAGGGGCTATGGAAAGCTGCAAAACTCTTCTGGGAAAGGTCCTAAAGACAGCTCTTGACTTTTATAGCCAAAGTCATTTCAAGCATATTGTCTATGATTGATAAGCTTGGTCATTTTGTGGATGATTATCTATTGATCAATGCTTATTTTATTTTTCAAGTATAGTATAAGTGTGTGTATTTTACAACAGTAAATGATTTAGAGCTCAATTTATTAGGTGATTCTTGTTTCACTAAAAGTTTGACATGTAATGAAATTAAATAAGTAAGATGGTTCATTTAAAGTTCAGTGGTGTAAATGAGAAAAGGACAGACAGATTCATTCCAGAAATATCTGTTTTGGAAACTTATCTTTCAACTTCTTGGTGTGTGATCTTAGGAAATTTGACAAACTATTCTAATTCTTTGCTTTTCTCCATCAGGAAAATAGAAATAATTGTTCATAACTTGAAGTTTTCTTCAGCATTAAATGAAGAGAGTTTTTGTGATGATACCAGAAAGGTGGTGAGTGTTAAATAATTATATGAAATTTCTATTGAATTACTACTATGACAGAAGTACACTAAAAACAAAAATTAAGCAACTAAATTAAGAAATTCAGCTGCTCAGATATTAGGTGGGAAAATGATGCTTTGCTCATGACAGATTGGATAAGTTTGTCTGAACCGCTGGTTTATATTTTAAGGTGTTTTGGAATTGGAAACAAATAGCACAAGAATCCAGAAGGTCTGTGGCATTTTTATTAGTAGTCATTTCTTTTTTCATCCATGTCATGAGTTCCTTTTGTGCCCTTAGAAATGCCTTCATGACATGAACCAGAAAGCTGGCCTAGACAGTGCATTTGTTAAATAAGAACACATTTATAAATTATCTAGAAAGAACTGAGTGATAAGTGGCATAAACATATTTTACTGAAGCAGCCATGTACCTAAGAAAAAAATTAAATTTAACTCTATAAAACAAAAGAATTATATATCAAACATTACATTGCAAATAATATAAAAACTCATTGTAACTTTCAGACCAAAAATATGAATTAAAATTCATTTTCTAATGAATGGGTTTTCTTCTCAAAGTATCTTTTTGTAACAGTAGCTTTTCTGTGAGGAAAAAAAAATTGTCTATTTACATTTGAACTAGTTATTTGAGCATTTATTTTACACCGTTACATTACAATTTGAGAATTCTAGAAATGCTATTTTATTGATGTTGGTAAAGTGCTGGAAAGTAGCTTTTCAGTACTTGAAATGAAAATGATTGTGCAGAGTATGCTGATTATTGTTTATAAGAATATAAAGAAAAAACGATAAAGCAAGTTGCTAAGGAAATTAAGGGTTTACTTTCTCCGTGATGTGTCTTAGAATCACACTGCTTTTCCTCTATGTTTGCTTAAATGGTTTGATATTTGCTTGGGAATTAGTTTATTTGACTATTTTGATAATAATGGTGTCTCTAGGAGTGGTTTCTCAACACAGGTAGTAAACATATCACTGCCATTATGCTATGACCCATAAAATAACAACTGAATACTAAGCATTCTACCGAGTTGGGTTTTCCATAAAGTTAATTGCAAGGGACCTTCAAATGTTTCCATTAAAAAATCTTGGTGAATTCTCCCCAGATTCTAACAAACTATATCAAAATAGAACTCATTTCATGGAAAAAAGGAATCCCACAGCACTTCTTTTTAATAACTGCTCAGCTACAAAATTTTATTGGTGTCTTTTTATGTTCCCTCTAGAGGATGTAATGCACAAAAGCATTGCCACGGAACATATAAAATTACAAATGAAATTTATTGTAAAAAGTAGAATGTCTTCTAGACTGGTCAGTATTTATTTCATTCATAAACCAAAACTGCAGTATAATATATTCATTGTCAGCAAGTTCATGTGTGTAAATTGCCATCCAATGTTATTGACTGATATAAGACAGATATTGAAAAGACAATTTAAATTTACTCTTCCAAACATAAACTGTTCCACAAAAGCACTGTAAAAACTCCTTCAAGATTTTGGGTTGTGCTTGACATTTATGGTTAACTACATAATTTGGTCGTGTCATAATCCATTGTGTTTGGCAATTTGGCATTAAACGCCTGCAGAGCAGATTGGATCCTCACCACCTCACTAGTAGACAGCTTGAGTCTATGACGAAGCAAGCAAGAGAAAAGATCTAGACGACGCTGACCAGGTGGGGAGAGTTTATTTACACGGTCTCTTATCTCTAGTAGTTGCAAAAGTGCTGAGTCCTGGGATCCCTGAGTATAGGGGTAGTCCAGCTGCAAAATCAGGTCCCGAATTGCTTCAGGGTCGAAGTGCATGCTGTAGCCAAACACTTGGATGTTGTTGATTTTCATGTAGCCCAGGTTCCGGGAAGGATCAATGAACTCCAAAGGTTCGTAGTAAATGCTCTCATTGCCATTGGGGCCATTTGACTTGATGCGACTCCTCAGGTAGATGTGTACTGTCTCAAAAAATGTCTTCCATTTGTTCCCCAGAGTCAGTGTCCAGTTATAACACTGCAGAGGGAGGTCCAACTTAGTCCGCTCCCAGTCTGGAAAGCTGTTTTCATTCACAGGCATAAACCAGCTCTCTGAGTGGCTGCCTCCAAAAGGATTGATGTAAACAGCCAACACTGGCTCCAAGGTGCTGTTTTTAGTTAGGCAAATCTGTAAAGAGAGACCCAAGATCATGTGGACCAGGCTTGACTTGTATTTGTTACTCTTCAAGGTAAGGAGCATCCGTTTCCGCCAGGAGGGGTCAAACCAGCTGTTGAGGCGCATGTCATTGCTGATAAAAATGGCATGGACTTCTATTCGTCTGTCTGTCTTTTGCAACAAGTATTTCATCTCAAGGTCTTGCAGGTCAGTCTCAAAGCCAATATAGTGATCCGTAGACTCTGCAACTTCAGGCTTGCAGAGCCCCTGGCTCAGCATGTAACCAGTATTGCAGGTGCCACAGCGGGTGCGGTTGTCAGGTGCACAGGTCAGGCAGGCGGAGGCGTCGCCCACAGTGCAGGGCAGGAATGAAGTGCAGACAACCTGGTCGTTTGGACATGTGCAGGAGTGCGTCTCTTCTGAAAAGCTGCCCAGGAGGCCGTTCTCATTGCAGTAGAGAAAAGACTGGATGCGAGTAAGCCAGTAGGTTGAGGTTCTAGAAATACAAAACAAAAGGAATCTACATAAATACAAACGTGTGTGTGTGTGTGTGTGTGTGTGCATTTTAAACATGACATAACTTCTGAAGAGATTATACCGCATCTCAGTGTACTTGGAAGGTGATTGTAAGTACATTAGGTTGAACATTGTTTTGAAATGATAACCAACAGCAGGAAATAAAAGTAGTGTTATCATAAAATATCTATAGCAAAATTAGAGCATATAAATAACCGTTGTTCATTCATTCATTCTTATTTTCACAAAGCAAATGTTGCAGGAAGCATGAATATAAAATAAAAGAGAAGAAACATAAACAACTTTAAATTGTCAATCAACATACTTAGATCCTAGAGTTTTACCAACATTGAAAGAACAAGTGCCCTGAGAGGGAAAATATTATTAAAACATCTTTGATTTTACTCTTACAGGCTGCTCAAGAAAACAGTTGAAAATATCTCATTAAAAGCAACAAGCTCTTCTAATAAGGGAAAAGCATGTTAGTTTAATGTGTTTGATTTTAGTCATTAACATTTTTTTCCTATCAGGCTAATCAGGAAGCCAATTTAACATCTCACTTTCCCTATTTTACTGAATTATTCAAACTCTTTTGGCTTATTGAGGATCTCAGTAAAATAGTGAAGGAAAAGTGGTGGCCTTGTAATCAGATAATTCCTTGTTTTTACTATGTTGCTTTTTCATTCTAGCTTAATGATTATGGGAAAAGTTGCATGAACTGTACTAAATACAGTTCTCTCATGTGAGAAATGCAAATAGTAATATCTTCCATTTTGAATATTTGTGACAGATAAGTCAGATTCAAATTGTATGAATGTATTTAGAATTGTATGCACTGTCTGTTTCATAGTAGAAAAGCAAAAATTGATTATATTTTTGGTATTATGCATTTCTGGTATTAGTATTTAGTAGTTAGTACAGATATAATGCACTCAGATCTTTAAAATTTATTATATCACTACTGTTTTAAACAAGTTCTATATAATGCTGTTAAAACGGGTTTTAATCTATTTATTCAATCATTAAAAACAATTAATGATATTCAAGACAGGTATTTATGTTATATGAAATTTGGAGCTCTGCCCATCCTCCTCTTGAAATGTCCAACACAATTTTTAATGTAAGTGCTTCCCTGTTTTCTCAAATAATTTATCCTTTATTCTCTCCATACCATCTACTTATTTTACTTCATAGTGTCTTTTTCCACTTACAATCTTATATTATTCTGTACTTACCTCTTTATACTGTTTCTCTCATTAAATATAATACCCAATTTACCAGAACCCTTATGTTTTCTTTGTAGCTACATATCAAGCACACACTAGAGTGCCAGATAATAGGCTGTTAATATTTACTAAATATTGTATAAAATGCATGGAATTAAAAAATCCTGTTCAATAAGTACAATTTTAAATGAAATTTAAGCTTTAAACAGATCATTTAATATAGCAGGGAAGTCCTGGCTTCCAAGTTGCAGGTAGCAGAGTTATACAACCTATGCTTTGATATCTGCACTAGGAAATATATACAAAATTCATCTTTGCATAACTTCTAAGAATGCAATTTCATCCTGTAATCCAAGAAGAAAAGAACAGGACATTAAAAAATTTCTTCTTTATTTCTCACACTGAAAAGTACTGACAGAAATCCTAAACCAGTTTGATTCACTCTATGTTTTGAACATGTTCCCCAAAATTGTTATGTTGGAAATATGATCCTCACTGTGCAATGGGACTTGGGACCTAACTGGAGGTGTTTGGGTAATGGGAGTGCCATCCTCATGACTGAATTAATGTCATTGTTATTGGAGTAATTTTCTTATAATGGGACAAGTTCATCCCCCTATTTAGCTTTAGCTCTCTCTCACAGTCTCTTTGACTTCTGCTATTCAATGACCTCACCAGATGCTGGCCCCTGGATCTTAGGCTTCTCAGCTTCCAGACTGTTAGTCAATAAATTTCTGTTCATTACATTTTACCAGATTGGGGTATTCTATTTTAGCAGGAAAAAGTGGACTAAAACAATTAATTCCCAAGTTTCTCTACATACTTTTAAAATAATTCTCTAAAAACCTTTCCCAGGAGTATGGGCAAGGTTATGGAATAACAAATATTAGAGACTTTCTGGTACTTTTTGAGCCATATGTGTATTTCACCCCAGAATATATGTATGAGAAGCTTCCTGCTTTTAGTTGATGAAGCAGCTTGATTAATGATTTCTGTATTCAGACTCAGAATACAGAAATTCATATTACTGATTTATAATCTATATTTACTGGCTTGTTTGTTTCATTTCATTCTCTTTCTCAATCAATTTCTTCTCCTTCCTTCCTACCCATTTTTTTTGCTTCCTAACTTCCTTTTGGTTTTCCTCCAACTCTCCTTCTTTTTGCTTCATCTCTAGTTGTATTTCTGTCTAATATAAAGTATATAAAATATATATCCCATCTGGATTGAAAATTATATTTTCTTCCCTGAAACCAAAGCATAAAATTCTCTGAGCCAACTCATCTCTCACTGTAAGCTCTAATCATGTTTTGAAATCATAAGGACAAAACAAAAAATGAAATAAATAGACCTAAGGCTAAAGGCAGCACTCACAAAACTAGGACACAGTGGAAAGAATGGTGTGGACATTTTAGAAAAGCAATGATTTTTCCACCCTTTAGTCTTTTTCAATCCTTTCTACGCTTCCACAGATGCATTAGTGCAGGAATATGATTCAGCTTCTTGGGTTTCAGCCTATCATCTATGAATACTGATTACTCAGCACACAGTCAAACCCTGGCACCCCAGAATGGAAAAGTTGGCATGCAGATTTTCTTGCTGCTTCTTGTCCTTTTCCCCTTACTACCTATCTTTTGACTATTTTACTGTATTTCACAATGTAGGAATAGATTGTTCAAGAAAAAAAATTCAATAATCTGTCTTTTCTTCACTCTTGGTAAAATCTTAGTGCAAGCAGTAGTCAAAAATATTGATAAGCAAGTGTCAAGATTGTATAATGGATTTTTCACTTACCCAAAAGTTCACATAGTTAATTTTTTTCCTCAATAAAGTCAAATTTATCTGTTCTTACTTTATTTTGTAACTTTAAAGGTTTTTGGAGAGAAATGTCTTCAAAATTTTCAGTTAGGTTGAATCAAGTATTTTTTTCAATTTCCATTAACTTTTTAATATTAAAACAAATAAATAACATTGCATTTTATTGGCATATACATATATCATGTGTGTGATATGTATGTGTCTGTGCATGATCTGCATGCACATGTGTGACCCATGCATATCTTGTGGATGTCATTCACATAAGTACATGTGTATGGTATGTGCATGTGCTCATTTGTACGTGTGTGGTTTGTGCATGTGTGTTGGGTGTCTCACCTTGATTCAGACAGATTGTTGAAGATCTACTAGGGCTAAGAATTGAGAATGCAGTTCTGAATGATAAACTGCAAAGTGAATGAGGACAGGCAGGTATTTTGGTTTGCTTGCTTTTTATTGAACATGTGGCATTGTTCTAGACATTTACTTAACAGCACTTCATAGAATAAAGGAAGGAGTAAGGGAAAAGAAAAGGGAGAAAAAGAGGGAGTAAATTTATGGGAGGGAGAAAAACATTATGGTTAATGAAATATGCATTATGGAATAACAGAAGAAAAAACCAGAATAATTCAAGACTTAAAGAAAAGCAATTGATATGATACATGCTTCGGACCAATGAAAGGTTAAAGAAATCCCTTACCTATTAGGAAGAGAGTTTGCATTTTGTAAATAATTTCTTGAAAGCATTTTAGGGGCTATAATTACAAAGAACGAAAACACTTTCCTGAGTTAATCTAAAATTAATTTGGAAAATATCATTAGCTAAAATGTCAATAGCATTTAAATCATCAAGGAATCATGTTGCATACTATTTTGAGAAGTTAGAGGAGTGGGTAGTCCCAGTGTCTTTGTTTAACTTATAATAGTCTCTATGTGTTATAAGATCTGCTCTTCTCTATGTGATGCATATTTTGTAAGCATCAAAAAAGTATTAGACTGGGAGTCTGCATGCCTTATTCCCAAAGCCAATACCATACCCTCTGAACTGGACAAGTACTTAAGTCTATTTAACCTTCAGCAAATCTTTTGGAGTTCAGACAAATGTAGGTTCAAATTTTGATTCTGTGTAACACTGGGTGGGGGGATACACACACACACGCACACACACAAAAGGGCTTGATGTATTTATCTGTGATTTCACTTGATATGATGGTAGTGTGCAAAGATGTAACATATTGTATTATCCACTATTTGTTGTTATAGGGAAACACCTGGCACAGCCTAACTTTACGAAGTAAAGAGGCTTATTTAGCTCAAAAGTTTGGAGACTCAAAGTCCAAGCAGCTTAGTGCAAGCTTGGGTAAGGACCCCATTGCAAAAGCATTATGTCTCAAATCAGGAAGCAGAGACATCTGGGTGAGTACAGGCTTGTTCCTTATATAAAAACTCTTGGGAGAACTAAGAGAGTCCATGAGAAAATATTGTAATCCTTTCCAAGGGCAACAGCCCTGATGATGAAAGGATCCCCCATTAGACCCCATCACTTAAAGGTCCATACCATCTTTCAATAGCCTAGGGACCAACCTAACACATGGACCATTGTAGGACACCCAAATTCAAGTCATAGAACATAAATCTATGAATCTCACAGTTGGTTGCTGTTTCTTATGAAACAACATGCATGAAATGCTTGTTTTAAAATTTTTCTGTTATTAAGAATATCATGATATAGTCTTATACTTTTAATTTAATATGTCAGGTGTGAGTATTGAATCAGATTTCTGTGCACTACCCCAGATATATTTGGAGAATTTCTAGGACCAGGAATATCTTGTTAAAATGCACAGCTTAGATAAAATCTATGTACACACAGATATTACAAGGTTCCCATGTATGTAACAACCCAAAAGCTGTCATTTGGCTATCCTTCAATACCATT